CCCCCACCCAGCCTAGGAGACAAGCAGGCTGTAGATGCATAGCTTTGCTTCTTGTGCAAATGAAGCTCAGACCCTCCCTAGCCTTCAGGCCTAGTGGCTTTCCAGAGCAATTGACTGAGAACAAAGGAGGTCTTTGCATAACCAGGTGCAGTAAGGACTGGAAGGAAATTCCAGTGGCAGTCACAGAACCTTGTGGCCAGAGAGAAGAGAGGAAGACAAAGGGTAAGGCAGATCTCTGGTAGAGTTTATCAGCCAGGGGTAAGGAGCCAGGAAGGATAGATGGAGGACGAAGGAACAGAGGATGAAGATGAGACCAAAAGTATAAGGGCTTGGTTACTACCAGGGCTATGAGGGGACAGAAAAACTAGGTACAGAGAGGAACTGAGACTCAGGATGGAACTGAAGCTGTATAGACAGAGTTTTGTCATAGAGGAATAAAGTGAACGGACAAAGGAGCGTAGTGTACGTAGATTCCTTTCCCTCAGATACCCCACGCCTGATGTAGAGTCTCCCCCAGGACTCTGGGAGGAATTTTCTCAGGGCTGGAACTTGGGAAAATTCTGTAAGTGTGTGAGGGTTTTGCCTGCATGTATGTCTGCATATCATGTGCACGCCTCGTGTGCCTGCAGAGGCAAGAGGGGACATTGGATGCCCTGGAACTGGAGCTCTAGCTGATTGTGAGGTGCCATGTGGGTGCTGGGAACCAAACCCAGATCCTCTGGAAGAGCAGTGAGTGCTCTTGTCTGTGAGCCTTCTCTCCAAGAACCCTGTAAGTCTTTTTTTTTTTTTTTTTTTTAAATCAATCACTTTGCTGGGCGTGGTGGCGCAGGCCTTTCATCCCAGCACTCAGGAGGCAGAGGCAGCAGGATGTCTGAGTTCAAGGCCAGCCTGGGCTACAAAGTGAGTTCCAGGACAGCCAGGGCTATACAGAGAAATCCTGCCTTGAAAAAAACAAAAATAATCAATCATTATTTCTTTCTTCCCTACTTTCTCTTCCTTTCCTACCCATTTTCTGCAAATTTGAGGCAGGATTTCAATAAATTGCCCAGACTGTCTTTGGACTTTCCATCCTCCTGCCTCGATCATCAGGCTGCCCTTACATCTCAACCAGGCAGGGGTTGAGGCCGGAGGCTGCTCTCTAAGGTGCTCTGAGTCCCTATCTCTTCCTCTTCACTCTCCATCAGATAGGAGGAGCTGTCTCCTCCTCAAGGTGAACTGTCTTCCTCTGGCAACATGCTGCTTTTCTTGATCACAGTGAGTTTATCAACTGAGCCTGTGAAACATTTTAATTTCTAAAGCCCAGATGGAAACAGTATCCCCCACTCCCTGCTTTTCTAACTATGACTAGCTATTCTGACAAGCGGCAGGGTCTAAGCCCACTTTGTTTATTTCTGAGACAGGGTTTCTCTGTGTAGCCCTGGCTGTCCTGGAACTTGCTCTGTAGACCAGGCTGGCCTCGCACTCAAAGATCCACTTGCCTCTGATTCCAGAGTGCTGGGATTAAAGTGAGCCACCACTGCCTGGTTTAGCACTCTTCTTTGAATGTGGAACACTAACTGGCTTGTAATCAAAAGAATGCCACATCAGTGACACTGCATGTATACAAGGATAGAGTTAGCAGCATCTGAGGGAGCTGGGGGTGTGGCTCAGTGGTACAGCCTGCCTAGAATCCCCCAGTGAGGGGCTGGGGTGTGGCTCAGTGGTACAGCCTGCCTAGAATCCCCCAGTGAGGGGCTAGGGGTGTGGCTCAGTGGCTGGGGTGAACCATCAGACCCAAGCATGCTGATGTTTGTTTTTTTTTTTGTTTTCATTAGTTTATTTATTGATTCATGCATCTGTGTGCATCTGCAAATGGAGGAGAAAGGAGAACTTGCGGGAGTTGGCTCTCTCCTTTTCCCATGCATGGCAGCAAGTGCCTTTACCCCCTGAGCCATCTTACTGACCCTGTTGACATGTTTGAGACAAGGTCCTGCTAAGTTGCCCAGTCTGAGTGCTGGGATTCCTTATGTAGCCCAGACCGGCTCAGATCCCCCACCCCGCCCCCACCTCAACCTCCCCAGGGCTGGGTGACATGTACACTCCACCACACCTAACTAAGGGTCACCTTCTTCATCGAGACCTCCCTGATGACCTCCCTTCCTGTGTTATGTTAGCCTATTTAATTCTCCGAGCCCGGCCAATCATAACCCCATTGTGCCTCAGTTCCTCCATCTGTAAAATGGAGACAAGAGTGACTGTCCAGGAAGCTTCTTTAAGTGACAAAGTAGTTACTGTGTTATAGTGGTCCTTATGCAGGAGTGGCCCTGGCTCTGGGGGAGCATTTGGCAGAATCTGGCACCATCTGTGGTCCTTGTGAGCAGCAAGCACTAGTAATGTCTGGTGAGACCAGAGAGGCTGTATGACTTCTCTGAGATGCCCAGCCATCTACCCCAAGCTATCAGTTAGTCCTAATGGTCAGCCTGATTTAGGGAAGATATTTAGTATCATACTTGGTTCGTAAGGTTCCCAAGAAGTGTCAGATCTCACTGTTGTCCCCACCCTGTCCCCTAGTCCTTCACCTGGAGCAGCAACATCGATAAGCACTTGTCTTGTTTTGAAAATTGAGCAATTCATCAGGGTCAGGTTAAAAAAAAAAAAAAGATGCTCACCAGGCGGTGGTGGCGCACACCTTTAATCCCAGCACTCGGGAGGCTGAGGCAGATGAATCTCTGTGAGTTCGAGGCCAGCCTGGATTACAGAGTGAGTTCCAGGACAGGCTCCAAAGTTATACAGAGAAACCTTGTCTTGAAAAAAAAAGGTGCTCATATAAATATGGGAATAAGGCCGGGCAGTGGTGGCGCACGCCTTTAATCCCAGCACTCGGGAGGCAGAGCCAGGCGGATCTCTGTGAGTTCGAGGCCAGCCTGGGCTACCAAGTGAGTTCCAGGAGAGGCACAAAGCTACACAGAGAAACCCTGTCTCGAAAAACCAAAAAAAAAAAAAAAAAAAAAAAATAAAAAAATAAATAAATAAATATGGGAATAATTAATATATGGGAAGAACTAATGAAATGGGGTGTTCCTTAGGGTCGGGGAAATCCACAGTTTGGTACACAGTAGGTGCTCACTCAATGCACATTGTGCATATGAATGAGGAGGCCAAATGAAATGTGTTTGTACATGCATGGCCTTCCTTCCATCCTTAGCCACCCCTGCCCCCAACTCACCAGCCACCTGGACCTCAGTCTTGGCCTTCATTGTCCAGGCAGGGTTGATGGTGACGGCCACTTGGTAGGTGCCACTGTCTGAAGGTTGGGCACCTCGGAGCAGCATTGAACCATTGGGGAAGCCAATGATGTCTCGCCGTCCCATGGCGCTGCCATCCCTCTGGGGCCGCAGTTCCCCAGGGATGTAGGAGAACAGTCTTGTGCCTCCATTAGTCTTCTCCCCCAGGTACCAGATGAAGTCCTGGACGGTGCTGGGAACACCATGAAGGGACAGGAGAAGGTCCTGGTTCTTTTGAGGCTGCTCTGGGATCTTCTGGATGTGGAGGGCTGCCTGGGAACCTTGGGGCAGCCAGAGAGCCAGGATCAAGGCTGTGGGAAGATATGGAGAAGGCCTGAGTCCGGAGGGAGAAAACAAAACCTCCTTTCTACAGACTCTCAACTGAGAGCAAGGACTCTGAAGAGTGCACATTGGAATCAATGAGATTGATTAGTGATGTCTGCCCTGGGTGCAGGAATAGGAATAAAGGCACAGATGTAACAGAACTATTACCAGGTCCCCACCCGCACCCCAGATGCTTTGTGTTCTGATTTTAAACACTTAGACCCTCTGAATTCACTCATTCAATCAATATTTAAAGGCATATCTATTTCATTAGTTATCATGCTAGTTACATCATAAGCCTAAAATTCCATTGGGTGTGTGTGTTTTGTTTTTTTATATTTTTGGGGTCAAGATTGCACTATATAGTCCAGAATGCCTGGAACTCACTATGTAGTTCCAGCTCCAACTTGTGATCCTCCGGTCTCAGCCTCCAAAGTGCCAGATATACACCATCACGCCTGGCTCTTCCCTAGATTTTTATTGGAGACAAGGTCTCAAGTAGACCAGGCTAGCCTTGAACTGACTATATAGTTCAGGATGTCCTTCTACCTTCCAAACGCTGGGATTCTGGGCGTGACTGACTCACCAGTTGGGTCCGGCTCTGTCTCTAGTCCTGCACCTCCCTCCCCAGAACACAGCAGGGAAGCAAACACAAATTCCTACCCTCATAGTTCTGACATTCTAGAAAATTCCATAGATGAAATATGGATGGAGATGTGATGCTACTGTCCTGCCCATTCTTGCCCCTCACCCCTCCGAGTTTTTTCCTCCTTACCTGAGAACAGGAGGCCCTTTGAGAAGCAGCCCTGCGTCTGGATAGGAATCTCCATCTTGTTTCCTGTACAGATGTCAAAGTCACGAGAACCACAGAGTTGGGGTCTGGCTCTCTGGAGAGTGAAGTTCAGTGAGGCATCCAGGTGGGTGCCTCAGGACACACCAGGCTGTGAGGCCCTGGAGCCCCAGACTCCCCTCTCTGAGTCTCCCAGCCTCCTTGAGCTGACTCCTTCCATGAGTCTCCACCCATGCCCGGAGATGAAGGGCTCACTCTGGTTGGACCAGTCTTCCAGGGTAACCCAGGACTTCCCAGGCCGCCTCCCTGGCCTCCTTCCCACTCAGCCCGGCTGGCTACCGGAAACAGCAAGGCGCCCTCTGATTGAGCAATCCCTCCTTCCAATCCCTCCCCCAGAAGCCAGGATGGGGGGAGACTGAAGTTCAGGAACCCGGGGGAGTCACTGAAGAGCAGAGATGTTTTATCCATGGTGGGTTCACTCTATTGACTTTTTCTTTTAACACTTATCTATGGTGTGTGTGGGGAGGTGGGTTCCTCCCTCCGCCCTGTGGGTCTCAGGGATCGAACTCAGGTCATCAGGCTGGCCCGAAGTCCCTTCAAACTCTGAGCCATCTTGTCAGCCCGTGCATAGTTTTGTTTGTTTTGTGTTTCCCAAAAGTATTCATCCTCTCAATCCAGACCTAATGTGGCCTAAGAAGGGTCCCCCTGCCTTCTTTCTTCCATGCATCACCACCCCACCCCCACAGAACCATCCCCACCCAGATAAGGAGGTTATCAGGAGAGATGAAAACCCCGGGGGAGGGCCTGGGAGAGCCCCGGGGATGGCTCCGCCTAGCCTGAAGGAGGTGATCCGGAATCAGGGAGAAATGTGGGGCGGGCGGGCGAGGTGCCCCACCTGCTGCCCAGCTCATGCAAAGCGACTGAGGCTGAGCTGGCCAGCCACGTGCATCGTGGGAACTGTGAAATCTGGGTCAGCGAGGCACTGGGAAGGGCTGCGTGAGGCGGTGAGGCCAGCAGGTGGGCGAGGCCGGTTCTCCACTTTGGCTTGGTCTTGAGTCTGCCTGGACTGAGCTTGGGGTGGAGGCTTGGGGCTCTCTCAATACTGAAATAGTAAGCCGAATTGGCTGTTTATAGAAAAATAGAAGAAAAAACTAGAATTAACTAAAAATGCTTAAATGGTAGGAGGAAGAAGACAGGAGGAATGAGGGTCAATGTGATCAAAATGAATGCTGGGGCCGGTGAGATGGTTCCGGGGGTGAAGACGCTTGCCGCCACGCCTGAGGACCTGAGTGCTGTCCTCAGGACGCACGCGGTGGAAGAAGAGGATCAAGTCACACAAGTTTTCCCCTGACTTCCATATCCATGCTGTGGGTGGAGACAGACAAGAGGATCTCTGAGGCCAGCCTGGTCTACAGAGTGAGTTCCGGAACAGCCAGGACTACATAGAGAGACCCTGTGGTGAGAAAAGAAAAATTAGATTTAGTTCCTCCAGCCAGCCACATGCATTTAATGAGGACCACACTGGACAATGCAAACACAATGTTTCCAGAAGGTTCTGTCGAAGAGAGACGATCTAGAGATGGGAGGCAGGCAGCGCTAGGCGTTTCTGCTCTAGGGAAACTTCTGGTCCTGTAGGAAGAGAGCACCTTCAGGTGTGTGTGTGTGGGGGGGGGGGAGGCAGTGTGCTTGTGAGTCTCCTGGAAGCCTGTCGTGAGGTGGGCAGGAGATGATGGACAGCATCTTTCAGTCCCTACATTGGGACAATCAGGAATTGTGACTGTTTTTGTGCCTGGATTACAGGTGGGGGTCCCCACACCCCACCGGGCCAGGTGGGCAGCCCTGCCAGGAGCCCTCAGCACCTCTGTTTACCCACCTGGCTGCTGGCACTCGTTGCAAGCTGCAAGCGGTGTCCCACTCCCCTGAGAAACATGGCTCCACATCGCCCCCTGCTGTTCAGGGCCGGCAGTCACTGATTTTTAACTTGGTCTTCGCGCCGTGGTGTCCACAGGATGGCACCCCCACTCGATCCTGCTTGCTGCAGTCCCGTCCTGTTTCTGTCTGCCATGGAGTGGGTGTAGACAATGTAGCAATTTTATGGTAAATCTAGAGCAGTGGTTCTCAACCTTCCCAATGCTGCGACCCTTTAATACAGTTCGTCATGTGGTGGTGACCCCCAGCCATAAAATTATTTTCCTTGCCACTACATAACCGTAATGAACCATGACGTCAATATCTAATATGCGGGGTATCTGATATGCAACCACTGTGAAAGGTCATGGGTCACGACCGATCATCTAGAGGCTGTTTCCAGAGGGGGCTGGAAAGATGGCTCAGCACCTAAGAGCCCCGGCTGCTCTTCGAGAGGACCTGGCTTCGGTCCAGAGGACCCCCGCCAGCAACAATATGGTGAGTATGGCCCTCACCATACTCGCTAACTCCATTTCCGGAGGATCTGGCGCCCTCTTGAGGCCTCCATGGAAACTACACTCACCTGAATGGACTTGCACACACTTGTGAACAGTCAGGCTGGGGAGGGGTAAAGTGCTTCCTTTGCAAGCTTCAGGACCTGAGTTCGAGTCCCAGTACCCACATAAAAAAAGCCATGCGCTGTGCTGTGCACTTTGTAATCTCTGCACCGGGGAGGTGAGGACAGGAGGATCCCTGGGCTGGATGGCTCGTCAGCCTAGCTGAATTGTGAGCTCCAGGCCGGTAAGAGGCCCTGTAAAACAGTATAAATAATAAAGGCAGATAGCCAGGCATACACACACCTTTAATCCCACACTCTGGATGCAGAGGCAGGCTGACCTCTGAGTTACAGGACAACCAGGGGTATGTAGGGAGACCTTGTCCCAATTAATTAATTAACTGATTAAGGAGGAGGAAGTCAATGTTTATTATAAACATTTTGATGATGAAAACGGAATAAGAGGCAAACAATGAGATCAGAGGGCAAATGCCGCAGGAGGCTGATGGGAGGAGGCATGGCTTCTTCCCCGGGTCTTTCTGATAGACTTGGAGCACGCCCCTTGCCTCCGCTGGACCCCCACACCACACCTGCTGCCACTACTGCCATGTTTCTTCACCACACAGTGAGTGCTCCCCCGTTCTCTCGGCTGCGGTCTGACCTATATTCTTTGTGACAGACACCCCGGGGGTTGTCCTTGGGCTGCGCTGGCAATGGCACATTTTCGCTCCTGACGAGGGGGTCAGTGCTGTCTTGGTCCACCGGGTGGTCCACCTGTGGCATACGCCTCAGCCCTTAGCTCTCCCTTGATGAAGTGGAGGGTTAACCTGAGCTGATTCATAGATCTTTCTTCTCTCCTCGGGATTGCCTGAGATTGGAGTCTGATCCCGGTTTGTTACTTTAATTTTTTTATTTTTCTCTCGGCTACAGCCATGGGACAAAGGGGCGGATACCACTTAAATTGGTGGGTGCCGGTAAATCTGGCCACATAACAGCTTGGCAGGAACTTCTGCCAGTGAATGGGCAAACAAAAGAGTTAGTTTATCCCCAAGCTTTCTGCTAAAGCTCTGAACCTTCTCTTTCCGCATTTCTGATGTTTTCTTTTCTCTGCCACCTGCGACCTTTTCTGTCTGACTTCCGCTGGCAGTGGGTGGGCTCAAATGGGCGGGCTTGGGCTGCTACTGCTGACTCTCACTTTAACGCTCCTTCCACTCATTCTCAAGCTTCCATGAGAGGCACAGACGGGTCTGGAAGGTCTGGAAGCGGCTAAGATCCATGCAAGTAAGTTTACAGTAGTCAGGATGGCTCCTAAGCCAGAAATCAACTTATAGCCTCAGGCAAGTCTTCGAAAAGGATCGGTTTATAGTCTACCTCCTGGCAGATCTTCCAAAAAGCTGCCCTTAAGCCAACAATCATCAGGAAAAAAAAAAAAATAATAACCCCAGGACACGGAGTAAAATCCGTCTCTTGTTCCCCAGACCTTCCCAACTAAAACTTAAGCATCTGGAGAGCAAGACTCATGACCCCACAGGCAAAAGAGTCATCTGTGGCATTTAAGGTGTGCCAGGGAAGAGATAAAAGCCCGAAAACAAAATTGCCAAATGCTGGCACTCGCTGACTTCCAAAAGCTGTTGGGTCCCTGTTTTAACTGAGGAAAAAGGCCACACGGGCTAGTGAGTGCCCTGCCAGGCCATCAATAACCTTGTTAAAAGTGATGCCTAGAAAGACAAACTGGTCAGCTGACTGCCCCCAGGCGCCAAGACGTATGGATACATCAAACTAAGACCCCCAGCAGATCTAGGCTTGGCCACAGGCTCACAGGGAACCCAGAACACAGCAGGGAAGCAGTCTGTTTCTTTCCTTCTGGACACCAGAGCCACTGATTTGGTCCTGGGAGTTTTGGGATGTCACCTCTCCTCGTTTCCCTATTGTTGGGGTAGGGAGACAGCCTTACCCACCTCACCAGATTTAATTGCACTTTCAGGGTTACTTAATGGGAAAAGATTTCCAGCTAAGATAGGAGCTTTCATTTCATGCCTCCTTCCATGTGCCTCTCACCAGACCTACTGCCTGTGTTTCTCATCTGCACACAGACAGAGCCCTGATCTCTGCCTTGTCTTGCTGGGATGGTCTGTATGTCAAATTGCTCTGATTGGTCAATAAATAAAACACTGATTGGCCAGTGGCCAGGCAGGAAGTAGGTGGGACAAGGAGAGAGGAGAATTCTGAGAAGCAGAAGGCTGAGACAGAGAGACACTGCCAGCTGCCACCATGACCAGCAGCATGTGAAGACACTGGTAAGCCACCAGCCATGTGGCAAGGTATAGATTTATGGAAATAGATTAATTTAAGCTATAAGAATAATTAGCAAGAAGCCTGCCATGGCCATACAGTTTGTAAGCAATATAAGTCTCTGTGTTTACTTGGTTGGGTCTGAGCGGCTGTGGGACTGGTGGGTGACAAAGATTTGTCCTGACTGTGGGCAAGGCAGGAAAACTCTAGCTACAAATTTTCTCACAGCCACTTCTTAACATGTTTCAAAATGTTTCCCAAACTCCAGAAACCAGCTTAAATCCATCTGGACAGGCCAGATCTACCTCAGATAAGTGCTAACTCC